TTGAATAAAACAAGAGAAAACACCAGCGATACTTAGCTCAATCAAAGTAGGATTTGCCTCCTCTTTGCCTCCCTCGTGACAAATCAAAGTGGTTAATTTTCTTTGGCTGGGCAGTGTAGTTTTACACACCGTCTTATTTTACTTTCTCAGGACTTAAAACTGTTTTTTGGGGGCAGAGTGGCAGACCCCCACAAAGGAAAACAATATATACACACATACAAGGTCATCATCTTAACATTATGATCATCCGTGAGCAGAGCATCAAGTTGGCATGCCTATTAAAGCTGAATGTGGCGATTACCATGTTGTTCAGCAAAACGCCTCACAAACTGATTAAGATCCAAAGCTTTAGTGCGTTTTGATTCAATGCTAAGTACAGCCAAACTTGACAGTCTCTTCTCTGTCATTGTAGACCGCACATACCTCATTCTTTCCATCTACTTGGGTCCGAATCTTTATACAGTCTATGGTCCGAAATGCTTCTCGTTTTGCGCCGTCCTGTTCAGATGAAATCGCCGCCAATCATATTTCGACGCTCCCCCCAGGGCCGGAGGAGGGGTTACAAGGCTCGCATCTTGTGCTGCATTCACTTGCACTCGGACATTAGAGACTTTCTCTCATAAATGTCCGATGAGCCACAACTTTTCTTTCAAAACAAAGCTGCCAACTGGGGTGGCCGCTGGGGTGGCAAGGCTATTTTTTAGGGTGGCAGTTGCCCCCCCGGTAGATCCGCCCCTGCATAGTATCACCTTGGACATTGATCATATATTATACATTGAATAGAAAATTAATAAATTATAATAATAAATAAATAAAAAGAACAACCAAAACACACAGGCATCTGTATAGACACTCGTTACGTCACGCGCGCCATTACTGTTTGTCCTCACTGAAGGAAGGACCCCTGAAAATTCTACTTTCAGAACGCGGGCTAATGTAAACCTTAAAAAGGAAAGTGTTTAACAAAAGTTTTCATGCAAATAAAAATCCAAGTGGGGAGCTCGAAACACATGCGGAGTTAACGTTGTGTCGCTGCTGTTTCGACACAGAAGAGTGAAGTGTTTCTTCTGAGCTGGTAAAAACTAGCTGGCTAATTTAGCTAAGAGCTAAAGCTGCTACAGCTGCGCAGTTTCGTTTCACAGAAAACACGAAAACACTCTGACACTAACTAGATACTGTAACCTAAGCTGTGTTTTCCTGCCATAATATATCTTGGAAAGTGGAATGGGCCGACTATACAAAACTTTTATAGCTGACTGCTGCTAACTACAACATAACCACAGAGGTAACTGTTCATATTTCCAAGGAATGTATTTAAGATTGTGACATTATTGTCAAGTTCTGGCCAGGTGGAGGGTCAAGAAGTCGCTTGAGTTATATGTGATGTTGACGAGTCACAGTTTACGTATTTTGTGAATGTAATTTTAATACATAAAATACGCTAGCTGTGGCAAGGTGTCCCAATATAACCAAGCGAGCCGTTTATGTTATTGTTTAAGGGAAGACTTGTTGATAATAACGTTACGTCTTGCATCACGATATAAATACAGTCACATAGCATTTACGCATTAATGCTTTTCTTAGTGCTTGCATGGAAGTGTTCCCTCCAATTCCCCTTTTCGGCCACAGAAAAAAAGCAACGACAAAACAAGTGTGCACTTTTTCTTATTTGCTTAGTTCAGATCAAAAATAAGCTCAGAGCAGGAAAATTGGCGGATCCAATGTTGTGGTGGTCACTGTTGAAAAGGACTTTCCTGTTTTTACTTCATACATATATTGCTTGTGTACTGTATGGTACGAATTCATGTGTAAGAAAAACATGGGCAAGACAGTGCATTTGCATTGTTGACTATGTAATAGAAAGCCATTACATTCGCAACTAAATGTTTTCTTTCTCTAACGTTGGGGTTTGTTTATTTTGCAAAGAGCTATCTAAGGTTAAATAAAACAAATTAACAGCATCATCTGATGTCCTAAAACACAAAATCTGGAACAATGTTTAGCTGTAAAACTGTACTCTGCAAATATAATTTATTCAACATTAATCACTACCATGTATTTTATAATAAAGCTTCAGCACTTTCGGTCACAATACTTGTTTCTCATACATGCATCATTGCTGATTATTATTTCAGATTATTAAAGTGACCTCATCCAAGGTTTGGTATTGCTGTCTCAGTCCTTGTTCCTCTCCTACATCATCTATGTTCTGTTACACCTCATCCCTCAGATACAATAATACATCATAATTGTTTTTTCTCTACTCTCTTTTAGCCATGATGAAGAGACGAGTCGAAGCAGCACCACTACAGGGGGCGAAGAGGCCACATGATGACAGCAGCTCAGATGAAGAGTCGCAGTTATCCAGACAAGGTAAAACATTATTTCCACCTGCAAACAATGCCTCCCACAAGTGAAAAGATTATCAAGAAATTATTATTACTTGAGACTTGCTTGTTTGTTTGTTTATTTGCCTGCGTGTCGCTGCCTGTTCCTGTTTGTAAATGAATGTTTTCACTGTGTGTCTGTGGTTTTGTTCTGTCTAGACTCGAGCCAAAATGACTCCCTCAGTGACCAGGAGGACCAGAGACCAGGGTTCTCCATGCCCTCTGTAATAGCTGACGACCCGGACAATGACCCCACTCAAAATGATGCCTCCTCTGATTTCACTATGTACAACAGTGTGTCACAGAAACTCATGGTAATGTATTCTAAATAATTACTACTACTTACTAATGATCTAATATACTAGATATTGACAGTTTCATAGTCTGTGCTGCAGATTTCTGGATCCCAGATAGTGTTTATTTTAGATTATGTGCAAAGATATTCAGAAGAGTTTTCCACAGTTTTTGTATAATTCCCTTTTTCTCTGCTTCCTCTTACACCTTTAGGCCAAGATGGGTTTCCGTGAGGGTTCAGGTTTGGGAAAGTTTGGCCAGGGACGCAAAGAGATCATTGAGGCCTCTACCCAGCGAGGGAGAAGGGGTCTCGGTCTCACACTGCAGGGCTTCCAGGGGGAGCTCAGTGTCGACTGGCGCGACGAACCAGAGGTACACAGAAGTAAATAATAACCATATTGCGTGTTTCTCTTTTAATTATGAGAAATGATCTACTATTGAACCATCAACTGTGTTTTTCATTTCCAATCCTGAATTCCTACACATACATCATAATGACCTGTTGACATGTTCTGTATCTCCATTGTTTTATTGTTTTCTCTCTTTTTTTGACTTTTTTCTTTCCAGCCCACGGCCTTACAAAAGGTAGACTGGTTCCCAGAATGCACTACAGAGAACCCAGATGCCACTGAGCTGAGAGACTGGATGAAAATGGGGCCGGTAAATACAAACACTTCAAACTTACTTGATCTAGCCAGGATCCATTGCATTTTCGTAATATTGGGATGCAGATTATGATTTTCAAAAGGGGGTTTCGTTTAGCATGAAACACTTGAAAATTGATGTCAAAGAAAACTATTTCTGCTAAAAATGTAGCAATGATTGAGAGTCAGACCTAAACATTTCAGATGTATGTATCTCACACTGCTCTGTAGCACATTCATGTACCTTTGCTGTGCTTTTAAATGAGTGTTTTTAGATGCCATTTGATAATATGTTTCTTAATGCTCTGAATGTCTTTCATTTTTGTGAAGCACTTTGAATTGCCGTGTGTTGAAAGGTGCTATATAAATAAACTTGCCTTGATCTGGATTACACTACACATATATATATATATATATATATATATATATATATATTTCATGTTCACGCAGGCCCTAGGGATGCCGCAGTGTGCCTATCGGTTAAAGGTGGGGTAGGTAAGTTTGAGAAACCGGCTCGAGATACACTTTTTGTTATATTCCATGGAATGCTCTTAACATCCCGATAGCAATGAATATCTTAAGTGCTTTGACAAAAAATCCATAAAAAAATATCATCTGTGGAAGCCGTAGTACTGTAAAAAACACGACCAATCATCTGAGCCGGCCCGGCTAAAATAACTGGATGGCCTACCTGCCTGTCAGCCTTCCATCTGTGCACAAACTTATCTTGTGCCCTCATTGGTCATGTGCGCGTCCGTGTGTGTTGGAGGAGGGGCTTGTA